TCTGCCAACAAGCCGTCAACAAGTTGTGTTCGCACTGCTTGTCCCAAGTTGTCAACAAGTTTGGAACAAACTGTTAACAACTTTTAACAAACTTGTTGATATCAGAGGACTTGTTGCAAGGTTGTTCCAACAAGTCCGATAAAGTCATGATGTAACAATATTGTTACAACCTTGTATCGTCAATCTTGTAACATTCTTGTTATATAATGTCCGTATCAGACTTGTTAGAACAACCTTGTAACAAGTCAGATAATACCATCAAGCTTGTTACAACTTGTTAACAGCTTGTTCCAAACTTGTTAAAACAACTTGTAACAAGCAGTGCGAACACAACTTGTCTACAACTAGTGAACAGATTTGTAACAACTTGTTTGCAGACCTGTAACCACTTGTGCGTTTTTACGTGTGTACGACTTGTAGCAATGCTGATTCAACAACTTGTCAACAAGATGTGTTCGCACTGCTTCTTCCTAGCTTGTTGACAAGTTGTCAACGACTGTACTAAACTTGTTAGAACAACCTTGTAACAAGTCTGATTATATCATCAAGCTTGTCTTGTTACAAGATTGTTGATTCAACAGACTTGTTAAAAGTTGTTGCAACACCTTTTTATCGTCCTGCAATTCAACAGTTTGATAACAAGTTGTGAGTGACAACATTGTAGCAACTTGATAAAATTTTTACAACTTGTTGACAAGCTTGCTACAAGCCTGTTGCGAACACATCTTGTTGACAAGTTGTGAGATTTTTACGTGTGTAATTCTATACATACCCTCTCTCTGGGTGAACGACAATAGATCTTGGATTGATCAATCTTGTTGAGAACAAAACTTTTCTATCACTGCCATCCAGTTTGGAAACTTCGACACGATCAAACATCGAGTCTGTCCAGTACAGGTTGCCGCCTACATAATCAACTGCGATTCCTATAAGAAAATATTATATAGATCATTTTCTTTAAGTGCTTTATATGGCGGTACACATTGTACTGATCGTAGTCAACTTTGAATGTTTTGATTCTTATGGGAGTGGGGAGAGGGTGTCAAATGTTTCCATTGCTTGCACTTGCTATTATCAGACTTGTTACAAGGTTGTTCTAACAAGTCTGATACAGTCATGATATAACAAGAATGTTACAAGGTTGACGACACAAGGTTGTAACAATATTGTTATACCAGGACTGTATCGGACTTGTTGGAACAACCTTGTAACAAGTCTGATAATATCAACAAGCTTGTTCCAAACTTGTTGACAACTTGTGACAAGCAGTGCGAAGACAACTTGTTGACGGCTTGTTGACAAACTTGTTACAAGATGTGAGATTTTTACGTGTGTTGATGGTGGCAAATTGGTGGCAAAGGTCCTAAGCGCGTGATTTGGTCTGATATTTGCATGATAAGATCTATAAGCAGTCACCTTCGGGACTCGAAAGACCTTCGGAAATAATTTCCTCGGCTCCAGTCCCATTAAAAGCGACGCGCCATATTGTTCTTCGCGCCACGTCGGTGAAGTAGATCATCTTGTTCATGTGATCAAAATCCAAAGCCACGAGCAGACCACGTGTCGTCTGCAGTAACACACCGATGCTGCTTTGTGTGGGGGGTAAGGAAAGACGTTGCATAGTACTGCCTTGAGTGAAAACTAAGAATTCATCTCCAACTGTAAAACGATAAATATCAATAAGATTGTTAGGTCCTGGTTACGTAAAAAAAGAAAACATTCTTATCTGTTTCTGAAACATCGACTCCTACTCAAGTTTCCCGAGGGTATCTGCGCAGATCATAAAGGGTTAAAGCTTACCCCATTGGCATCTTTCTCCTGAGTATCCTTCTCGACACAAACATCCTGATTTCAGACACTGACCTCCATTCAAACAACGTAAGCAAACAACTGAATAAAAAAACAAACAATACTTCATTCAAACTTGTATGAAATCTTGTCAAACTCAATAATAATTCATGAAGAAAACACAAAAAAATTATCATTTTGGGCTTTCGAATCAAAACTTTGCCAAATGAATATACGTGGTCTTTCCGGTTGTTCAAAGCACAATTTGCGCTAACCTTAGGTTAAAATTTGGCACGCTATTCTGGTTTGCGCATGTCCGGATGTCAATTTGTTTTAGAACTTTGGAAAGTAAAACTTTTATTGATCCAGACACGATTTCTGGAAAAATACGTCTAATTGTGTAAACAAGCTGTTGGGAAATTTGCTAGGAATAAGCTAACCAGCTTTCGAGCAACTGGCCTCTGGTAAGAGATTGAGATTGTATGATCCTCATTCCCAGGGCTTCTCGGATGCCTGGCGTTGCAACGTCAGGCAGCCGAGAAGCCCTGGGAACAAGATGGGATTGTACAAAAAAATGTCGGTAAACTCACGTTTACATTCGACACCATTCCACTCATAATCGGCATCACATCGACATTCATAAGCTCCAAGTGTGTTAAAACATCGCGAGAATGGAGGACATTCAACCCGTGTGGTGTTTGAACATTCATTGACGTCTAAAAGAATGAAGTACGATTTACGATGTTGCAGATACTAAATAAACCTGTACCATTACACTCAAATCTGAATAAAATGCAATATAAATCTGAGATATAATTTGATAAAAAAAAGATGAAACCTCATGAGAAAGGCTAATTAACCGACTATGTATAAGGTGCCTGTTTTGATGAATATTTAGGGTTTCATGAGATGTTAATAGTAAAACATGACGTACCTACACACACAAGACCGCTGCCTAGAAAGCCTTTTTTACATTGACATTGTTTGACGCTGTCAATTTCAGCGCATTCAGCATTTCTATGACACTTCCTGCCTCCACAACTGCCGTCACCTTGACACGCGAAGATAAATGAATTTGAATCAACTAACTATACAATCGGGATAGTAGCTAGGGATTTTTGAATAGCTGTTATCGTAATTGAATACGCCGCTGCGGCGAACCAGCGGTATCTCAGTGGAAGTACGCACGAAAAAGGGTAAAAAAACACAAAACACGACCCTATAGCCTCGTCTCCATGTCAAAATAATGCAGATACCGCTGGTCCGTAGCATAGACGTATTCAATTACAATAACAGCTATTGCTCCGCAGTCGCGTGAAGAGGACGCGGGACGATTTCCACGCGTGTCACGCGACGGCGAAACCCACCAAAGCGCTTATGTACGAGGCTGGTAAAACTGTAAAAGGAATCTTCTTAGTCTGTCATACTTACTTTCACAAGAGAAGCCGTCTCCAAGGAAACCAGGCAAACAGAAACATTTATACCCACCAGCAACGTTTACACATCTGGCGTTCTTGTCACAAGAATCGCGCTCCGCCTCGCACTCGTTGTAATCTGGAAAAAAAAGAAAAATTAAAGCTGGTGTACATCATCCATATTTCTTTGCTCTATGTTTTATGTTTTGCTTTAATGTTTTGCTTATCTAAAATCAATCTGGTCCATATTATCGATATTTTTATATCTCATTCGGGAAAAGTCAAATGCACAGTGGCAGCTATATGCATTCACTTCAACCTCGGTTAAAGGAGAAAAATAGTTGATGAGATTTGCCAAGCGGGAGTGCACGAGTGTTTCCTCATATTGCAACAAACGAGAACAAGAGTTGCACTACGTAAACATCTCACAACTTGTCAACAAGATGTGTTCGCAACAGGCTGTAGCAAGTTTGTCAACAAGTTGTGACAATGCTGTTATTTTATCAAGTTGCTACAAGCTTGTCACTCACAACTTGTTGACAAGTTATTGAATTGCAGGACGATAACAAGTTGTTGGAACAACTGATAACAAGTCTGTTGAGTTCAACAACCTTGCAGCAAGTTGTCAACTGCGGAACAAGCAGTGCGAACACATCCTGTTGACAAGTTGTTGGGACAGCATTGCTACAAGTCTGCTGCAGGTTTGTTACAACTTGTGCGTTTTTATGTGTGTAGTGGATCACCATCTAACCTGCAAACGGGTATGCTTTGAGTACGAGATTGCAGTCGCACGAGGCAAAATTTGTTCACCAGGCAAATTTGTTCGCGCAAGACGGTAAAAAAGTAGGAACTAATCCAACTTTTTCGTGGCGAATTTTTTCGCTGATCAATCACATTGCCAAGATTTGTTTTTCGCTTCGTAATGCGCGAACAAATTCGCCTAGTGGAAAATGGGCTTAAAGTCGATGAGAGAGTCTGTGAGAGTTGGCGGTCAGCGAGGGAGAATTGCAACCGTCATCAACTCTCATCCTGGTTTGACCGGGACTGCCTTAATACGCATTTGATTGGTTAATCGGGTAGAATACATGCATCTGATTGGTTAATGGCAATGGTAACGGAATTCAAAATCTGAACTTCTCTACTGACGAGAACATAGATATCTTATATACACTAGATAGTGCATCTAATTATTCTACAATTCAAAAATTGAAGCCGTGATTGCAGACTCGGGATATTCCCATGAAATGAGGAGATTCGTATGTTTTCTACTTCTTAAACAGGGAACTTAAATATTAAGGTAAACATATTGCAAATACATTTTTAAACTATTCAAATGATGAAAGTTATTGTTGTTTTTTAAGCGTTTATTAGCGAGTGGGAAACACCAACATGGCCGCCATCTATTCAAATGGGGGTAACCGCTGGAATATTCTTGGCTTCAATTTTACTAAAAGAGATGCGCTATCTAGTGTATATAAGATATCTATGGACGAGATCTACGAATACCTCTACAGATCTGGCCATCACCATAGTACCCAGGATGACATTGACAAATCGGTGAACCATCTCTTACTAGACATCTGGCATAGGAACTGCACAACACGTCTTTACAGGGATCATCATCTGAATTATACAAACCAAACACAATATTAAGACCGTTTGTTCAGCTTCAATCACATTTTCGGACAACTCGCAAGGCGTAGTTACCACTGTACTGATAATGTAAGCGTAGAATAGAACATAGGTTACCAATCATTTATAATCTCGAACAGTTTGGATCAGTGTAGGTGATACAAGGAGAATTTCGACGTTTCAAGCGTTAAGGCGGATTTCCATTCAGTGCAAAATGTTGCGCGATCGACAGGGGCGTACGTAGGAAGCTTCTAAAAGGGGGGGGGGGAGGTCTCAAAAAAAATTTTCCGAACATACCAAAAAAATTTTTCCGGATATATCCAAATTTCCTAATTATCCGGATATACCAAAAACATTTTCGGACATATCATATTTTTCCCGGAAATGAAAAAAAATTTCCGGAAAATAACATAAATTCAAGTTTTGAAAAGAGCCCTTTGGGCAAAAAAAGGCAATCCTTAAAATATTTTTCACGCAAGAAAAGGGCACTTGGCAAAATATTGAAATACAAACTATTGAAATATTTTGAAATACAAACAGTCAAACAGAACAAATCTCATTAGCTGTAGTTGACTGCACATATTTCAAAAGAAAGCGATCGCAAAAGATCGATCGTGCGACATTTTGCATTGAATGGAAATCCGCCTTTAAGTGTCTGCTAACTTCCCGACGAAGCGCCTTCGCTCGAAATGTCGAAATTCTCCTTGTATTTTTCAGGTAGTTATATCCCTATCAATCCGAAGCTTTCTGCCAATGAACTTAAATTTTACTGTGTTTGCAGCTTGAATTGGGTGAACGGGTACAAAAACGCTTTGGATATAGTCTATAGACCCATTGCACATGACGTCACAGTGCCGGTGACGATGCATCTGGAGGACAAATTAGCAATCTATGTATAATATAACTTTTGTAAACAATGCAAATTTTGTAAAAGTTTATAATAATTTTGTATTGAAATGATTAATTTTTGCGCTGTATCAGTGTACGTGGTTGTTGTACCCGAACAGATATTGTTAGAGAGCATCTGGAGGACACTCTAAAGATTTGTGACGTCAGTGCAATGGGTCTTTCTCTGTATGTAGTTGCAAATGAGTTTCCAGTGTATTTTGATATTATTCAAAATTTATTTGATCGTGTAAATCGTGAGATTTATTATACTAAATGTTATTCATCGTGGTTGCACGTTTCATCTTAGCTATCCCTATTGGACGATTACTTAATTCTACGAAAACACAATCAATTCAATCACCGTGACCGTGCACAAATTAACATAAACTCCGACAAAAGCAAAACACAATGATTTCAGTTTAGTTTCCAGACCAGCGTATCTTGATAGACTATGATTTTCAGTATTATATTAATAAGATACTCACACGCGCATTCACGGCCATTTCCCAGGTAACCAGGCCTGCACTTACAAGTGTACGAGCCAATCGTGTTCGTACAAATTGCGTAACCATGGCAATTTGATTCGCCATCATCGCACTCATTAGCATCTAGAATTATTAGGGAAAACTGTGAAAACTTAATGGTTCTAAACTGTTCTCCCTAGAGGACAAGTACTGATCATTGAACATTGTTACTACAGACGGAAACCTAAACTAGACTAACTTTATTCACACTGGATAGCTCTATCAGTTCTAAACTGTTCACCCTAGAGGTCCAGTAAGAGTCATCTCCGATTGGTCCAGTGTTACTACAGAAGGAAACCTAAACTAGACTAACTTTATTCATACTGGATAGCTCTATCAGTTCTAAACTGTTCACCCTAGAGGTCCAGTAAGAGTCATCTCCGATTGGTCCAGTGTTACTACAGAAGGAAACCTAAACTAGACTAACTTTATTCACACTGGATAGCTCTATCAGTTCTAAACTGTTCACCCTAGAGGTCCAGTAAGAGTCATCTCCGATTGGTCCAGTGTTACTACAGAAGGAAACCTAAACTAGACTAACTTTATTCATACTGGATAGCTCTATCAGTTCTAAACTGTTCACCCTAGAGGTCCAGTAAGAGTCATCTCCGATTGGTCCAGTGTTACTACAGAAGGAAACCTAAACTAGACTAACTTTATTCACACTGGATAGCTCATCAGTTCTAAACTGTTCTTCCTAGAGGTCCAGTAAGGATCATCTCTTATTGATCCAGTGTTACTATACAGGAGGAAACCTAAACTAAACTAACTTTATTCATACTGGATAGCTCTATCAGTTCTAAACTGTTCTTCTAATAGAGGTCCAGTAAGGTTCATCTCTTATTGATCCAGTGTTACTACAGGATGAAACCTGAACTAAACTAACTTTATTTATACTGGATAGCTCTATCAGTTCTAAACTGTTCTTCCTGGAGGTCCAGTAAGGTTCATCTTTTATTGATCCAGTGTTACTACGGAAGGAAACCTAAACTAAACTACTTTGTACTAGATAAACTATTCTTCCTAGAGATCCAGCAAGGACGGTCATTGATCCAGTGTCATCACAGGAGGAAACATATAACTATACTACTATACTATTTATATACTGGGTAGCTCTATTTGTTCTTCCTAAAAATCTATGGTAGTATAACGGTTTATTTGCTAAATGTCAAAACAGGAAGTCGTACCTGAAGAAAACCTGCAATGTTTGGCAGAGTCCTACCGAGAGCACTCTACTCTGCATAATAATATAACAAAATGGTTGCAGGTAGCGGACCCATGCAGTGGTAGATCAACTAATTATAAATCTATATTTAGAGATAGCTATTAGCTAATGAAAGAAGATAGTGCACATACGTGTTTAAAAGCAATTATGCACTCCATCTGTTTCCAGCTTTTGTTTTGAAGCAGACAGTTCTCTTTTGAGTCTGTAAAAAAAACAACAGAAACACGATAAGATGCCGAGAGTCCCGTTTCTATACAAATGGATGATTTTTCGTTGATTTAAATCCGCATATCAGCAACAACATGCATATAGTGGTCTGTATATTTGAACTAGGATGAAAAACATCACTTGAAACATCGACGTGCAGACAGTTAAGACACAAATTGCGGCATCTTAAGGCTGGTTTTGACCATATGTCAAAGTTTCTGTGATCACAGTAGGAATGGCTGATTTCAGGTATAGACTAAATTTTGATCTAGGTATGCAAGAAGAGCAAAATCCATAGCTAGAAAGAGCATGTTAAAATGAGTAAAATCGCAAAGTTTGGTTGCGAAATCAACACACTCAGAATAAACAGTCAACACACTCAGAGTAACATCAGCATGCAAAAAAAACATTGTTCTTTTCACATGTTAAGCTGTAGTCCCTTTCATCGCTAATAGAAACGCCAAAACGATATAGAGTATTTAAGAAAAAAATCTCAATCATATATGATTTTTCCACAAATATTAAAATTAAAATTTCTAAGTATAGATTTTTAAGATTAAGGACACGTTTCCATCTTTTTGATCCATTATCACACTTGACTTATCTCGTTCTATATTTATACATTTCTGATCATTTCTTCATGCATAAAATATCTTGGGCATATTGGCCTTTTATCGGCATTGGAAAGTTCTCAAAAGTCATAACTGTTGTGGCTCAAACATAGCGAAAAATTCATGCCTTTAATTAATCATAATGGGTTATCTGGTTTGCCAGATAAGGTCCGAACTGTTTATACAAAGGACAACAGCACTATACGAAGACAATGAATGCGTAACAATCAAATTTTAAGAAAAACATTTTACTGTAAGCTACAGGGGAGCGGTGGTTTGGAATAGTTTGCTCGCAAAGTCCGCAGCAGTAAGACCAATTTATACTACACAACTTTTGCCTTAAACTGTCGCATGCAAGTTGCAACCTGCTTACAACTTGAGTTGTACTGTGTGAATCCCCAGACCACAACTCATCTACGACAACTTATAGGCGAATTGCATGCTTTGTTTATACAGTACAACTCAAGTGTAAATCAGCCTATACAATCCTTTAAAAATTGATCTCGACAATGCAATAAATTTGCTAATTATTTCTAACATAGTTTATTCAATTATCATCTGTTTTAATATTTGTTTAGCAAATATAGTTTATTTGTTCTAGCTGGTCATGCGGCCTATTGGAAGATCACTTTTCTTTCTTTTGTAAATAGTTTTAGTGAAAAGTAGTATGTGATTGGTATATACGTACATATTAATCTGGTCGTTATAAAATGTCTCTTGTTCACGTATCACCCATTTTCTCACGTCTTGAATTGAATACTGTTAAAAGAAAGCAGAAAGTAGGCCTACTGTATCGTTGTTTAATTTCAATTTTATTCACACAATACTGTGTGACATTCATTTTCATTGTTTCAATAAAAATAAACATAGAATACCTCGCTGTTCGCATTTCCACAACGGAAATAGCATCTACAGAAGACAGAATGAACGACCATTAAGATGGATAAAAGAAAAGTATTGTATTTTTCCTTGACTGATACATTAATATTTTCCCCCAATATTTCTTACTTGTTCTTGCTAGTAGTATGAACGGTTCCTGAACACTTGTTGAAAGATACTTCGATAACAAAAACATCCGGGATAATTTCAATATTTCTCCTAGAAAATAGTTTACAAATACTATTCAAAATGTTTATACTAAAAAACTATTCAAAATGTTATCGCAAGGCAACACAGAATGGCATTTTTAAGTATATACAAGAGATTTAAATTCTCATCTTTAGGAAATCTAGTTCAGCGCCATATTTCTTAAGCTGCACAATCTTCACTTTAGGCATTGATGGCCGAGTTTTTAAATCTATACGAAACAATCTTCAGCCGCTTATGTACCTTCTATTTTGTGCACTTTCCTCTTCGGCCACTGGAACAAAACTGACCTGAGAAGAAATGTTTAAAAGTTTATTTATACTGGATAGCTCTATCAGTTCGTTCGGGCTGAATGTCTCCGTGGAGATTTAGTAAGAGCCACCCATAGATAGATGTCTATGGAGCCACCCCTTATTGCTACAGTGTCATTATAGGAGGAAACCGTGGGGTACCTGGAGAAAACCTTTGGTGTTTGGTAGAGTCACACTGAAACACTCTTCTCATGCATGTGACTCTGGGCGAGGTGAAATTGCATACTCCAAACAACTGTGTGAAAGACACACGCACTAACCACGTGACACCACCACATTGCTGAACTTTACCTGATATTTGTCATATCTTACTGCAGGTCGAAATTCGTTCAACAATTCATCAACACCACAACGTAGACGATCTCTCTGAGGTTTCGAAAAAAGAACAAGGTTACAAACCCAACTTAACTATATATACTTTATTTATACTGGATAGCTCCATCAGTTCTTAACAGTTTTCCCTAGAGGTCCAGTAAGGATCATCTCTCATCGATCCAGTGTTACTACAGGAGGAAACCTAAACTAAACTAACTTTATTTATACTGGATAGCTCTATCAGTTCTAAACTATTTTCATGGAGGTCCCGAGTAAGGATCATCTCTTATCGATCCAGTGTTACTACAGGAGGAAACCTAAACTAAGCTATTTTTATTTATACTGGATAGCTCTATCAGTTCTGAACTGTTCTCCTTAGACGTCCAGTAAGGATTATCTCTTATTGATCCAGTGTTACTACAGGGGGAAACCTAAACTAAACGAACTTTACACAAGGAAGCTCTATCAATCCCAAACTGTTCTCCCTAGAGGTCCAGTAAGAGCTACTTACACTTTTTCGTGAAATTTCAACTCCAGAAACGACACCAGTTTTCTTTACGCCCAAGTATACTGTTCCTCCTTTACCAGCATTTAAGAACGCGCACGCCGGCCTGTAACCATGACAACACTACGTTAACACTTTAAATGTAAGACTTTAAATGTATCGGAAGTAGTATGCTACAACAAGCTGTCGTGGTTTATGCCTGAATACGATCTTCAGGAGGCCAGTAACCATCCCTATAGCCTTATAACCAACGAAAGGCCCTCGATAGAAACGTCGAAATGTTTTTAATATTTTCAGATAGTTCAGACACAAACCACGACAGCTTTACATGAAGGTATTTTACCTTGCTATAACACTTGACGAAAGACCTTTAGTTTCCTTGCAATGTCTGTCAAAAAACAAATTCAATAGCATCTAACCCATGCATCATTATCATGAACCGCTCAAAAAAGAATCAAATTAATTAAAAGCACCTGAATTCGTGCGTGTCGTCCTCGTTAAAAGGCATAGCTTGACCTCGGACATAATAACTTTCAATATCATGGTTCACCTTAAGAAAATAGAAGAGTTTCCAACTTTAATTAAGGGAAAAATTATGATGTTTCCATTAGTAGGAAACAATGTTTCCTGGTTTGCCCACATGCGAGAAACATGGCTATATAGGAAATTAAATAATACCTTATTAAATTCTAATCGTTTAATTGGCTGTTTATGGTCACGTGATATTGAATAGAAAATTCCATTTCCCAAGAGTGCAATGGAACACGTTCCATTGCATTCTCCACGAGTGCAATGGAATAAAACATTATATTTTCCAATTGCACTCTTTGTGTTTTCGATAAATCGCATCCCTCAAA